CAGCGCTGAGAGGTCTGGGGGAGCTGGGGGGGGTCAGGGGGAGGGTCATGGTTGGGCTGGAGGAGCTTCGGGGGCTTTTCCAACCTTGGGGTGGATTTCCTAGGTGGAAGCGTGTGCTGCGTGTGAAGTAAGACTTGTGCAACACACGCAAAAGACGGCAGCAAAGAAAAAGCTTCATGGAAAGACCTTGTGAAAATCTGAGTGTAGTCCTTGCCCCATGACATGGGCACATGGAGATAAGGAATGCTAAAAGTAACATCCATAAATTTGTAAGGTCATGGTCCTGAGGAAAAACAGTAGGAAAAAAACCATCAGGGAAAAGCATTGTGGAAAAAAAATTCCCTTTATTTTTCAAATTGCAAACTATGAACACTGAAACTCACAGCATGAAGAAAAAGCCCTCGGGAATTAACACAGTCAAACTGCCGGAACGCTCCGCACACGCTAACAGCCCTGATTTCCAGTTAGCTCTTTCCTCCTTGGGCACAGCAGAAGATGGACATACCATTTCAGGGCGGTTTTACTGGGCAGGTCTGACTCCTGAAACAATGTACATGTATCCTATACTTAATGTCACACATGGCCTCTCATCATCTTAAAGTAATTTTGAGGAGATGTGTCCTAATCCAGGAGCTCCTCATGTATATATGCATTGAGATAGCTCTGTTTCATCCCAAATATTGCCCATCTAATCCTTAGGAATAAATCTGTTTGCAAACAGGAGAAACTCAGATAGTTTCTGCAAGTAGAAGCAGCGGGGCTGCAGTAAAAACTGCACAAACTCTCAAATATCTGTTAATTTAAAAAGACGGTTGATAAAATGATTTAGTACTTTCAGCTACCCAGTTTTGAAGGCCGAACTAGTCCAAGGTCAGTGTTGGGTTTGGAAGGAGTGCGAACACTTTCGTGTTCCTGGCTGAGCTCTTAAAGCCTGCCTCCTTGGCAAGACGGATGCAGTGGGGATGTTGGGTCCTTGGGATACGCGCAGGGAAGTCAAAGATGAAGTAGAGAATATTCTCTGTACATTGAGAAGTTCCCATTATGTCACCAGCAGGTACGACGCAAAATCAGCACGCGTTGAGCTCCTTCCCGGTAAACCTTGCTTTGGAAGACTCATTACTGGAAGGAAGTGAAACAGGCTCTGTTGTTTTAAGGACGGGATGAGCCAGGTAAATCAAGGTGGGCATCGAAGTGAATCAAATGCAGCTTTACAGAGTGAGAGTTTAGTATTGCCTTTCCTTCTTGGATTAGCAACAAAACAATTAACTCTGAGTATACGTGTGTTTGTGCACGTGCCCCTTACATGTAGAGAGAGGTAAATACACATATATATACACAAATCCCTGGCAATGCTTTACTGGTCAGGTATTGTAAACAGATAGATAATCCCAATTATAAACGGGTTAACAACATGGGCAAACACCAGAGCTAAAATCTATCAGCTGAATTCTGTAATTCCCCATGGGAGACTGGTTTGCAGTATTTGACAATGAGGCTTCTACTTGCTTGTGCTCCATTAATCTCGTGTTGAAAGCGGCAAATCACAAATGGCGAGGCTTGGCGTGTACTGCTTTGTGGGAACATCAGCGATCATGTCGATGCAATGTGGTATGGAGAGCCCCTTTTATGAGATGTTGACGTGTCTGCGAACAGCAACTGCAAACAGGTTAGACTCTTGCTGAGTTTTGTTAAAGTATCATTAGGATCCTTCCAGATAGCTTTTAAAAATGATTGTGCTGGAAGCACCCTTTACAATATCTCTAGACCAGAAAGCACGTGCATATATTATAAAGCCAGAAGGGACCCTTATGATCATCTAGGTTGACTGTCTGTATAACCCAAGCCTTAGGACTTCCCAAAATTAATTCCCATTTGAGCTGGAGTCCAATCCAACAATCTTTTCTTCCAATCCATCCGTCAGTTTGCCCTTTATATACAGAAAGTCTCTTCAGGATTAGAACTCAATGCTTTCTTGAAAAGTTTGACAAATAGTCTGGGGGAAAAAAAAAAAAAAAAAAAAGAAAAACAAGATGCTGTTCAGTACGGACAAGTATAAATGACTATAGTTAGGTAACAGTAATCAACTGCACAAACACAGGCTGAGAAATTAGTAGCTAGGCAGCAGTTCCACTTAAAATGATGTAGGGATTATCATGTCTTACCACTGGAGTGGAGTCAATGCTTACCATGCTTTTATGAAAAGATAAAGCCCTTTATTGGGTTTTATAAGCAGGTCTATTCTTTAGACTCATGTCAGCTGAGCTGTGTTAAGGGCAAGCTAGTGCTGTCTTAGCCCACTATAGATACAAGCTACTGCAGTGTATCTTAATACTCTTTGATTAAGATCCAGTCTTTAGCTACAGTGATCTCATCAAAGTAAGACTCTGACCTCACTAAGATTTGGGAGAAGATGAACAGACTGGAATTTGCTGTATGTAAAGCGTCATGGAAAGTCAGCCGGATCAGCTGTTGCGTAGCATGCTGTTAAACCACGGTGACTTGAGTCTAAGGTCTAAATTTTAATGTACGTGAAATATTCTTTCCGCAGTGCTCAGCACTAATGAATCTTTAGCTGGATTGTCGCGTCAAATTTTAGTTATTCCACTTTAGGAAAGATGTAGAATAGCAAGGAAAAAGTCCAGAGCAGAGGAACGTGAATGGTTATTACCTGTGAGGGCATACGGGGTCTGTTTAGTCTAGAAAGGAGAAGAGCAGACATTATAATAGTATTCATACAAGATAAAAAAACGCTGCAAAGAGGAGGATAATCATTTGTTAACCTGCTCACTTGCCCCCTGCTAGAGCAGATCTCAGAATAAGCAACCTGCCTCCCACAGTCAGGAAACAGCCTGCTGCCTCAGGGTCTGGCTAAATGGAGCTACTAGACGCTTCTCTTTACCCTGTTATTCACTTCTGTGTAAAGGAGATGCATTTGTCCATTTATCTCAGATTCCCGACAGCTGTCCAGCCCGTAAAAACAGAATTACTCTGCCTACAGGATGTGGAGCATGGCAGCACCGATATATAATCCTGCAATTCCTGAAGGACCAAAAAGAGCCTCAGGATGTGGCCTTGGACATCCCAAGAAACGTGTTTTAGGAAGCTTTGTGTGTGCTGGGGAGCTAAGCAGGGGCAGTTGTGCGGTTGTGGTTGGCGGAGTTGACGCCTCTGAGCATTTCCTTCCCGAGGTCCACTTAGGTGCCCTCTGAGTGTGTGGCTAGGGCTTCTGGATGAAAAGGATCGGTGTGAAAAGCCAGGGTGGAGGGATTTAAGTGATAGACTGGGCTTGGAAGAATGAGCAGACCTCAGGCACAAGCTGCCCAGTTCACACAGTTTGGCTGTGCAACAGGAGGCTGCTTGCTGCTCTTTCTGACCTTGGCCATTTCTGCACTGAAGTAGCCCCAGACCTGTGGATTCTTTACATCTTCCTGGTTATGAAGCAAGCCCTGCTGGTGCTGTTCCCTGGAGTGAGATACAGGCTGTGTTCCTGGCCGTGCCAGAGAAGGTGGATGAAGCAGCTGCCTACTTCTTGCTTGAGCCTCAGAGATCTTTCGGATGTTGTGTGGGCTTATGTCCCAGCGTGGTAAACAGAAGCTGAGCTCTGTTTGGTAGGAACTGAGAAATTTATCCTGAATTTATAAGCTGGGGGTCTGGTAAACTTGTACAAATGCTAAGAAGCGATTTGGTACTGCCTATAAAAGATAAAAGGAGCTGCAGAAAGACAGAGATATTTGGAAGCACGTTCTGGAGCAATGTGACTGAGGGGAAGTCACTTCTGAAAACAAAGATGAGCAAGGTAATAGGTTCCTTAGGAGTCTTATAATGAGGAGCGAAACGCTTTTCTGAACAAATCTGGGGTGGCAGGGATGGAGAAACCAGCCAGCTGCTCAGGTGAGCAAACTGTTAAACTTCGCATTCCCCCTTCTGGTTTCACCAAGAGGAGAACAGCTCGCTAAAGAGAAATGAAGGTAACTGGTGTTTGGCAGAGCTTGGTAGAATGGAAATCTTTCAGAGGCTGAGTGACGGATAAATTATTTAACTGTTTGCTGCTTTCAGAGTCCTTTAGCAGCTTCCACTAATGGCAAGCCTGTTGGCCCCTATTTGTGCTGCCCGCCAGCACAGTAAGGCCCGTCCCTGCTGTATGGTCCCGCATTCCTCCGGGAGCTGGGTGACTCTAGTTCCTGCAGCCAGAAGGGTTGCCAGAAGAGTGAGAAGCTCTCAGGAAGCATCATCTGTGCAAACACCAGGACGGTGAGCAAGGAGGACACCGTGCTTCTCACAAACCCTCGGCAGTGAAGAGCCGAACAGGAGTGCTGGGGCTCTCCAAAGATCTCCAAATGGCCAATGCTAACAGCTCCATGTGCCTGGGGGAAGCCACCGGCCAAGCCAAGACTTTGCAGCTCTATCCTGCAGGGCGGAGACATCGTGGCGACATTTTGGTGCCAGGCCACAAGTGGTGGTGCCCCCAACCTACCTTGCCACTTGGCTGTGCTCATACTCTAGCTCAGAAACGAAGGAGCTCCTAGTCCAGCTCATTCGCTGAATCTTCGTTACTTGGGTCTAACTCTTGGCCCCCGTAAGAATGACTAAATCAGGCTTTTGTGGAATAAAACTTTCTGTGGAGTTTAATTTCCTCCTCTTTAATGCCAGTCAGAAAGAGACAGGGGAGAAACGGGATCAGGGAAGACTGCATGAGGCAGAGGGGGGCGAACAGTGCGCATCTTGGAGAGTGGATCCTTCTCTGTCCTCCACTATGGACTTCTGCTTCCAGGTCTTGGCTTTTTACAGCATTAATCTGCACTCTGCTGCCCGATTTCACAGTGTTGTCTCACTCCTGGGGTGCCCGTGGGTGTCGTTCTGTGGGCAAACCAGGTGGGAGAGCTGCTCTTTCTCCTCTATCACAGAATTACCAAGTTCGCAGTCCTGCGCATCCAGCTCGTGCCGGGAGAGGTGCTCCACAATGCCAGCCCCCAGAGAATCCCCCAGGACGTTGGTGGTCGTTCTAAGGCGGTCCCTGAAAAATCAGAGAGAAAAATGAAATACGGCTTCTTAGTAACCGCTAAGGGGATGAAGGCTATTTCGAGAAACATCTTCAGTAAAACTTTTTCTACTTTTCAAGTCACTAATAATTGACACTTCAGCCCTGTCAGGAAAATGACTCGCAGAGAGCCTTCCTTGATTGACAGCCCTGAGCACAGGCTTCACATTCATTCCCGCTCTGTTGCATTCCCAGTTTCTCACTGCAAAGTTTTAGACTTGCCACAAAACAAGAGAAACGTTACGGTAGTTCTACACGGACGGTTTATTTTCCAGAGGGCTGCTAAGACCTTCCTGCCGACTCAGATGAGCCTCGCCACATCTGTTACACCTGAATTGCATTTTGTTTTACAAAAAAAGTACAGAAATCCTGGTGCTGTTGTGCCAGATTTCCTCAGCATAGACACTCTCTAAGACAAGGCACCATATTCTTTGTGCAAGGTGACAAATCTAAACCACCTTTTGCAATGAGATCCTCTCCACAACCGCAACTGTATGTCAGAGCTGAAGCTATCACCAGTCCAGCGACCCATCATATCCTTGGACAACAGGTAAGACTTTGGTACGTGATGGAAACCAACCTTTCTGGGTAAGTACAAGAGGTAACCTGGCGTCTTAGGAGGCAGGGCTTTTTCCAACCAGGTCTGTTCTTATGCACAGTTCACAGGAGAAGGGGAGGTGTTGGGCAAGACTCTGTTTCCAACTGCTCAGCCATGGCTGGGAGCAGACTTTGGCTGCTTTGGCTACAAATCAGCAATACAAGATACAGAAGAACAGAGGAAACACTGACAGCGTATCCCTGAGTCAGGGTTTTGTTGTGTTTGAGAACACTGAGAGAGTGAGGGCTGTGCACAAACGCGTTCTTCGATCTGGCTCCTAAGAGCACTCCTGTGAAATCTCTCGTCCCAAGGTTTAAAAGGGAAAGCAAGCTGAAATGGAGCAATGTAGCTGACTAGCTGCACCCATCTAAACACTCCTCAATGTTGTACAGCCCCGCTTCAATCCGCTTCCCACGTTTGGAGGCGCAGAACCACCGCTCCGCAGCGTGAATTTGCTTTTTATCGGCACAACCTGTCCCTGTCAGTCTGGTTTCTGGTCACTTTATTAAGATAAAGCAAGCATTTGGCTTGGTGACCAGGTTTATCTGGAAGTGACCTCAGATGCCTTGGGTCACTGACGTACACGGTGAAGACTCCAGCGTGGGCAGAGAGGGCTACTGTCCAAAGGTCTCATGGATAAAGGTGTGGTTTAAGCTTAATGACAGAGGTTACTGAGCCTGTTCTTAGCAGAGACATTTGGGAACAGAAACAAACTCTGTAAGCACGGGCAGGGAGTGCGCAGCAGTGTGTGCTGCTGAGCAGAGAACTTACAGAAACCAGTCCACAGCGATGATCAGCGTAATGTCCTCAGTAGGCAGCCCCACTGATGTCAACACTATAACCATTGTCACCAGTCCTGCCTGGGGAATACCTGCAGCTCCAATGCTGGCTGCCGTGGCAGTGATGCTGGAGGGAACAGGAAAACAACAGCTGTCAGCAAAGGCAGAAAAGAGGGAGTTGCGTTTGCAAAAATCCCAGAAAAAAATCTAGGTTGGAAAGGATCATCGAGTCCAGCCATCAAATGTCGGGAAGCAGCTCAAACTCATCACCTACAAAACACCCTGGCAGCCTTTCTGGCAGCGCTAAGGTGCCCATCCATAAGGGTAAGGGTGGCCCAGCCCTGGAAACACAACAGGGGCTCAAGTGGAGCCTCAGAGACGTGGTGCCCAAATCATATGTGCCTCTACACCTGAAGGTACAGTACACCTGACTTTTCCATGCTTTTTTCCCCTTGTTGTATCTTGTGTTGGGTTTGTGTGTGGTGGTTTTGGTACCAGGGAGGGGGCCACAGCAAGGACCCCTGTGAGGAGCTTCTCGAGCTCCCCTGGCTCCAAGTCAGACCCACCGCTGGGCAAGGCCGAACCGAGCAGCGACAGCGGCTGCACCTCTGTGACAGCGGATTTACGGAGGGGAACTGGAGGAGGAGCGGGAGCTGCGAGGAGGAGCTGCGAGGGAGACACCTCTGCAGACCCCGAGGTCAGCGGAAGGCAGGAGGCGGCGGGGGGGAGGTGGGCTGGCGCAGAGCCCCCCCTCAGCCCCTGGGGAGAGGACGGGCTGTCCCTGCGCCCATGGAGGGCTCTGGGGGAGCAGATGCCGACCTGCAGCCCGGGGAGGACCCCACGCCGGAGAGGGGCTGTGCCTGGGGGAGGCCGGGACGCCGAGGGCAGCCCCCGCTGCTGTAGTTCAGCACTGGGAGGGCTGTGACACACGGGAGGGACCCACGCTGGAGCAGTCTGGGGGGAGCTGCACCCCACAGGAAGGTCTCACGTCAGAGACAGTTCCTGGAGGACTGCTTCCCGTGAGAGGGACCCCACGCTGGCACAGGGGGAGAATGCGAGGAGTCCTGCCCCCGAGGAGGAAGGAGCAGCGGAAACAAGGGGAGATGCCCTGACCACAGCCCCCGTCCCCGTCCCCTGCGCTGCTGCAGGGGAGGGGGGAGAGAAATCGGGAGCAAATCTGAGCCTGGGAAGAAGGGAGGGGTGGGAGAAGGTGTTTTGAAGGCGTGGTTGTATTTCTCACTGTCCTGCTCTGATTGTTAAATTAAGTGGTAGTGGTGTTTAAATTAAATTGATGTTCTTTTTCTGCCCCTAATGAATCTGTCTTTTGCCCACAACCATAATGGGCGGAGTCATCCCTCCCAATCCTTGTCTCAATTCCTGAGCCTTTTGTTGTATTTTCTCCTCCCCGTTCCTGAAGGGGAAGGAGTGAGCGAGCAGCTCAGTTGCCCACAACAATCTCCTGAGCAAAAGAGGAACCTGGCCACACCTCGGATAAGCCAACAGGACTGAAGCCCTTCCTGCAGTCTCAAAACTCTTTCAAAAGTCACCTTATCGTGATGATCTGCCCGAAGTCAAGTTCATAGTTGTTGACTTGTGCAATGAAGATGGCTGCAAGGGCCTCGTACAGCGCAGTGCCATCCATGTTAATTGTAGCTCCCACGGGCAGAACAAACCTCGTGATGCGCCTGTCCACACCGTTGTTTTCTTCCAGGCACCTGAAGGTGATGGGCAGAGTCGCTGAGCTGAAAGGAATTTACAAAACAACATGAATTTGGTATATGCTGACCTTGGAAGAGGGACTAAGCCTCTGCCTGGTTGATGATGACCTTACCCACCTGTTTTTTCACCCTGCCATGTGAGCCAGAGGCCAGAAGCTGCTAGGAGAAAGAACAGTCTAAGCAAGGCTTCCTCAGATATGGTGCACGCTGCAGTTGCACATTCAGACATGGCTTTCCTCAGGGGCTGGGACAAAGGCTGTGTAACCCTGAGGCTGGTGATGCTGGTATAACACCAAAAGAAGGTGATGCTGGAGGATTCAGGGTATATCAAAATTCCTTTCCCAGCTATTAAAACAAATTTAGCCCTTTGTCATCCCCCTTAGCGCACGGGACAAGAATGAACCATGTGTGAGAATTTATCTTGCAGAGATAGCTGAGAACTGTTTCCGAAGGAGAACATGAGCAGGAATATTTCTGTGTGCTTCAGAGTGTGGATGCACGTGGGAGAGACTGTTACGTGCTTGCCAGGAAACGCATGTAGCAAGAAACACGGCACTTGTGAACCACAGCTACCTACAATCCCTTGCTTTGGCTCTGCTGCAAGGCAGCGTGAGTCACTGAACATTCAGGTGTTGATGCTCCTGCCTGGGCTTCCAGGGAGTTTACTGCCGGCTGCACACAGAATGTGTGCCCAGGAGAGAGAAAGGTGCAAACGTGTGTGAGTACACGTGTGTGAGTACACGTGTGTGAGAGGTGTGTGTGCACGGGGAATAATCCCGCTGTTCTGTGGGATTTGAGATTTGTCCTGGCGAGGGCTCCTGAGCAGGGGAGTGGGAATCTTTTCACTCTCCACTGAGCTTGGCTGGACCACTGTAAAAAGTGGCTACTGCTAGAAATTGTGAGACCACAGTGCTGCACTGAGGGCAGTGGAGTGCTGAGAAGCAGCCCTGGAGTATCCACACCAGCCCCAACCCCGCTCCTACGTAGCCATCGTACCTTGAGGAGGTGCCCAGGGCTGTGATGAGCGCCTGCAGAAGCCCCGCAATGAATGCCCAGGGGTTTCTGTGAGTGACGATGAAGTAGAGCAGTGGCAGGATGCAGAGGGCATGGATGAGGAGTCCAACGATGACGGTGAGCGTGTACATCCCCAGCTGGCCTCCCATCACTGCTAGGTCATCCATCTCCAGGATTTTGCCAGCAATTAAAAACATGATCCCAACTGGAGCGTACCTGTGGCAGAAACACAAGGCTGATGCTCAGAACTGGCACCCACGCTTTCACGTCAGCTTTTATGCATGCTGTCTGGACAGATCCCCCATAAGCCAGCACACCAGGAGTGCTCACTGAGCCTAATCTTTGGATGATACTGCTGGAAACCTGGAGAGAGCCGGGACTTTTTCACCACAGGGTCAAGAAAGAGCTCCTGCTGCACTGTCGGGGACTCCAGCACTCTGTTGTGTGCACAGCTCGGGTACTGGTGGAGGTTTCCTCCTCCTTTTGAGTTCCCTACATGTTTCCACAACACTCCTTGTAGAATTGATAGGGGAGGTTGTGTAGGGGAGTCTTTGGGGTCCCTTCCTTTCCTAATGGAGCTTGGGCCGAGGGTATCCTTTTTTTCACTGAGAGCCACAGGGAAGCACAGGAGAAACAGGGAATCGGGGTGTAAAAGCAATTGTCCCATAGGCTCTGGGATATCAGCCTGAAGACAGAGACATTTAGGGAACAGAAGATACAGGGAACCCGTATCTGGTGTAGGAAGGACTGGGCGCACCAACACCTGTGAAAGTAGCCACGGTTTATACAAAACCCCATTCTGAGGTACACTGCTGTCGTTTCTTTATGGCTTTTTTCCCCCTCTATAACAACGCATCTCATGAGCCGCAGTGAGGCTCCACGGGATGGAAGCCGTAACACAGACACGGAGAATATTATGGGCACTGAACTAAACATGGACAAATAACTGGAGCAAAGAAAATCCCAGCTCCACGGCCATACCTCTAAGGGCTGGGCCTCTACAGCTCAAGAGCTTACATGCAATTCATGCACAAGGCTCAGAGGTCCACATGCCAAACTCCAACTTAGCCTGGGAGGTTTGGAAAAGTTTCAGGAAAGGATTTCACAAATATTTCATTTCCTCTGGCCTTCCTCTTAGGAGACATCCTTGGCTGCGGCTAGTGACCAGATCTCCCCAGGGAAAACAAGCTCCGGGGAGATGCTCTGCAGACTGTGCCTTCAGGAGGGAGTGCTGGGCTGCAGCTGACAGTCCTGCCTCCTGTGCCAGCAGGGTTTTGTACGTCAGGAGTTCTCTGCAGACGCTACCTACTGCATGTGCACAGGCACCTTCCTGAGTGTAACCAGTGTTCCACACACCAGCACCCTGCCTCCTTCCGCTCTGAGGGTGACCTGAAGGACGGGGCGTTGAAAGCACCTTGACATTGTCTCTGGGAGCAGTGGGCAGGTCTACGTGTTCCAGTGTGCGTGTGCTCTCCCTTCTGTGCCCTCGGACAACTCTTACCTCTTCTCAGGAAAGCAAGGACCCAAGTTCTGGCTCATCTGTGGAGAAAAAGATCCTAGAGGGGCTGGGGCTCCCCAACGCTCTGCTATGAGCTGAGGGTTGTTCTTCCCCTTTGTGTCTTCCGGTGTAAGGCCTGTCTGTCCCCCTGTGCTCAGGGTGTTGCTCTGAGATACAGGACTGTGACTACAAGACCAGGGAAAGGAAGCAGGAGTGATCTAAAATGGGAGAGTGTGCGGGACTGACAGATCCCTTCCCCGCTGGGCATTTCCATGTATTCTGCCAGCCCCACATCTCTCCTGACTCGCGGTACCTACCACAAACTGCTGTTTAGACCTTGAGCCCTACATGGGTAAAGGGCTTAAAGCAACAAGATTTGGTAAAACGCTGCCTTCTGGAGAATCATCTCAGAAACGCCTTGCTTATCTGGCCCGTGCAGCACAGGCAGCCTTGCGGAGAAGGCAACAAGCAGCTGAGCTCTAGAGGGGTCAGGATCTGGGAGACCTCAGACTGAAAGGCGATAATTTTTGAGTTGACCTTGTCAGCCAAGCTCAGCTCTCAGAGCTGATGCGTTCAGGTGCCACCCTGGGTAGCAGGAAAGTGGCAATATGTGATTCATAGCTAAGCCAGACTTCTGGAACATAGCTGGAAGGAAAGCTTTTGGTGGGAAAGCCTCACACCCTACCCCTGTTGGTAAGGCTAAGAGATCTTCCACTCCAGCTCTCTGGTCTTCCAAGGATGTTTCCAGCAGCCTCAAGGAAAGCAAGTCGTGGTGTACCTGATATTTCTAAGGTAAAAAACAAAAAACAGGAAATGAAATGTGAACAAATATCCCATCCAGACTTTTCCCTTCAGCCTGATGGAGCCAAAGGAGAGCTGTGCCCATCTGCTTTTCCTGTGCATGTCATCCTTAAAGCTACCCCACTTCTCGTCAGGTCAGCGGAAACTGCACCTGCAGACCTCCTGCTCCAACCGGCCGTGCTCCTCACCAGATGATAATGGCCACCAGCCTCATGATGGCTTCGTTGAGGCAGTTAAAGAACTCCCGCAGGGCCCGTCCCTTCTGCTTCATGCTGCCGATCACCAAACCGAAGCACATGGAGAACACTACCAGCCCCAGCGCGTTCACCCCATTGGCTGAGCCCGGGATGGGAATGACTTCTTCAAAGGTCAGCACCTCGGAGACGGTCCCCAGGGCATGGGTGATGTTCTCCAGGATGCCAGTGGAGTTCTCAGGCGCAGGGATCTGAGTGGTTGTCACACCTGCTGTGACATTGCTGCTGTGGAGGATGGTTCTGGTGAAGACCCTGGTGCTGTACTGCGTCTTGTACTGAAAAGACACGGATTATCAGATGCGCTCACAGACCCCGGTTCAGGAGCTCAGGACAACATGCTAGGCTCTTGCAGCCCTTCCTAAAGAGAGGACCGCAAGTTCCCGATGACCTGTGTCGGAAAACTGCTTTGCCTGTTCTCAAGCTCCCTAGCTTAGTGCTTTCATTAACAACTTCATAGAGCTGAAGGTCAAAAGAGACAATTGAAGCATCTCATATCCCTAGAACCTAGATATTCTGGCTTCTCTGATAACCCTTCATGCTCCTTCCAGGGACACTTAGCCTTGCGGAAGAGACAAATTCTTGGTGGATTTCACCGCCAGTCCAAGCCTGCTACCCGAGATCACACAAACCCGTCCTGACCCCGAGCGTGGGATCGGACAGAGGTTGAAGCCCCCGTCTACAGCAGCTTGAAAAGCTTGCAAGGGGGATGCTATAATGCAGGCTAATGGCTGAAAATCCTCCTGGAGCAGTCAGACTTGGGGAAGTGTGAGGGCAGTATAAAGCAATTGCTATTCCACCCCTCAGAGAAGGAGGTTGGACCACGGTCTAGGGCACAGGGCACAAAGGGAAGGATAGGCCAGGTGGGATTTCATACCTGTTTGAAGCAGGCTTCTACCAGGTTGGGCGGGAACATATTTCTGCAGTAGATAAAACAAGGAAAGAGTTATTGTCCTGTCTGACTAGCAAGAAAACACGGGCTTCGCAGCCAGCGCCTCTGTCCCGGATCAGCGTCAGGTCACAATTCTCACAGAGCCAGGTAAAGCTGCAGAGCAGATGGGCCCTTCCTGATGGACAGAAGATGGGAATATACCGATCCGGAGCCGGGCACGCTCTGCACCTTTTCAGATATCTACTGCACCTTTTCAGACTCCAGCAGGTTGTATTTCGGGTATGTGGAAAGAGACTACAGACATATAGCGCTGGGATATGGGTCCATTGGAAAAGCATCAGCAAACCCAACTGAACCTTGAAACGATAGCATATTACAATTTTTAATATACTGCTTTGCTCTCAGCTTCATCTCTACATCTGTCGCTTGAGCTCTATATTATATCGTACCTCAGAAACATAGCTTCAGAGCACTTGAGATAGTACAGCTTTGCAATTCACCGTGTAAGGTCACGGCAAGGGAGGGAAAGACAATGTCTTGGGAGGCACTTCCTCAGTTTCCTTGGGTCAGGGAAGACGGACATTTGGAGCAGCCTTTGCTGGGTGAATTTCCGAAGGGCATGCAGTCAATGATAGTTTTCATTACTTGTTTTGCTGAGCATGGCTTGGCCTCTTGCACTAATACCTCTAAGAGACGGGCTGGATTCCAGAGCTCCAAGCCAGTCGTTTGATCTCAGAGTGGCAAAGCCAGTCAGTTAGACTGAGCTAGAGGCAGCAGGCTCAGCAAGACTCAGCCATAAACTTCTTTCCCTAAGAGTGTATGCCTAAAGCTGTGACACTTCAAAAGGACATTCCATGGAGGAATGCAATCTCCCTGATGCGGTCTCAACACGACACCATCTTGCTCACCCACCTCACCAAGTCCATGAAGGCATCGGTGGTCTGCACCTGCTCGATTCTGCCTTCTCGGTGAAGCTTGTCCTTCGATCCTTTTCCTGGGTGGATGATGATCACCATGAGTATGCCAATGAAGACCGCTATGATTGTGGTCACCATGTAGTAGACGACAGCCCGCATCCCCATCTTCCCTGAGGCTCTGCCATCCAGTGAGGCCATTCCTGGGGAACCACACGGAAAGACAAGGTGAGAACGTCTATTGTCTCAGAAGGAAGGGGAAAACCCGAGGAAGATTCAAAGTGTGGAGGGGACATGCGTGACTTGGATGGGGAGCTGGGGTCTCTAGGAAGCACAGTGTACAAGGGGCAGACTTTGGAGCTCCAGGGTGATGTTGATGTGGGAGAATGTGGCTTGTGGTTATGAAGAAGCATAGCACCGGTGGGTCTTAGGCTGCATTTGGGAATACAGAAATTTCCTCCTAAAGCTCTCAGAAGGGAAATAATTCCCTCCCAGTACGCTGGGCCTTTAAGTCCCTAATAATGGGATGTTTCAGCAGGTGGAAGGCCTTGCAGTTCCTTCCACTGTCTGAAAGCTTGGCTGGCTGGCACGTCTTCTATGAGGACCTGAACGAAGCAAGCTCCCCGGCCAGAGGTCAACCCCAGCTCTTTGGGACTGACACGAATGAACATTCCTTGGGCTGGAGGGAACCTGGCACTGACTTGGGCAAAAAACTTGTTGATGTTTGAGGTTATGTAGGATGAAATCCTTGTTAGGGCTCAAGTGCTGGGCCTTGGAACACCACACTGTGTCCTCCCCAGTCTTCTGAGAAAGCACAAGGCCTTCTGCTTCTCTTTCCCTCTACTGAGCAAGCGGGGGTATGAGTGTGAATCATGTTCGCTACAGCTGTAGGTTCAGGCTTGTCCCTATTAGCCAAGCTAATCCAAGCACCTCCAGCTGGGGCAAAAAAGGGTACTCCAACAGCAGAGCATCTGTCTGCTGATTATTGCCTCGGCTGAAAGAAGCAGAAAGCATTTCTCACCTGTAATCAGGCTCGAGACAATGAGAGGAAGAACCAACATCTGGAGCATACGCATCAGCAGCTCGCCGGGGAAGGAGAAATACTTGATCTGGCGATAGGTCAGCTGGTAGGGCCGGAGGGAAAACGCCAGGATGATCCCTGTGGGTCAGCAAGGGATGAGAATGGCAATGGGACAGTGTGACCCAGTGGTCTGTCCCGCAGTCCTACAGCGTGGCTTTGCTCTTTCTCATCTCCTCTCACCTCCTCCTCTCCCCAGAGGAGTAAATG